CAACTTTTAGTATAAGACAAAAACTGTTAGGGATAATGTGGACACAAATCTAAAACCAACAATCACAATAATATCAACTTTTACTTGAGATTGTATAGTGCATCCATTTTTGTGATTGTTGGTGGGTCCTACATAAAACAATGCCTTCATTGTTTTTCACTTTGGCACTTCAAAACATTGAATTATGCACAATACATGTATCCAATAAACACAACTCTAACAATCACAACTTCCAAATGACCTCTGAGTTTTACCAAAGATAGGTAGCTTGAAAATTACTTGCCTAACCTTATTTTTTGTTTTCAGAAGATAAATCCATGTATGTCGAGAACAATCATCCACACACATTAAGAAATATAAAAAACACCATTCTTGTCACTAACTCCCACAAATCACACCCCTAAAAGAAACTCTTCATTTTAACAGCTCTAATAGGGTAGTGCCTCCCATTGAAGATAGTGGGAGAAGTAAGAGAAAGACCAATTAAGAACATCTCCAACAACCAAGCTAAATTTTCAAAAATGCTAAAACGCCTCCAACAAAAATTGGAAAATCCTAAAAAGCCAAAAATTGGGAAATTTTATACTAAATACCCACTAGAAAAAGACAAAAATTGATAAATTCTCTTTCGTAGCAGCCCCTCTTTTTTCCTTGAATATGACCCCCCTTTTTCTCTTATAGTCGCTAGAAACAAAAAAAAACAACGGAAAAATTTCTGTTTCAGTCATTGAATTCAATTCCAACGACTCTATTAGCCTCCAACAACTCTTTTTCTCAACTTTCTCTATAAATACACTATATTTCTTCACTTGAACTTCATCATTCTAATTTCTTCTCTCATTCTCATCAAATTAATGTGATTTTGTCATTAATGACATCATATATTACGATAATTTATTATCTCCAATTTAAAAAATAATTATCAAAATATTCGTCTTAATTAATTATTACTGCCTGTATACAAATAATCTACAAACTATCTAATTCAAATGATGAAATCTACGCAAAACTAAATTATCACAAAAAGAGAAGTTTTGACATTTTAGCATTGTTTGTTGGAAACAAAACCACTTTTGGAGTGCCAAAATGCCAAAACTATTTGGCATTCTAACATTTTTCCAATTCCTTGCTGGAGATGCTCTAAAGCCATTGTAGTGAAAGTTCTTTAAACAGACATAGATGAAGAAAGAGAAGAGAACAATCACCACCCTCTTAAAACCTCACAATTTCACTCCAAGAAAACATCACCAGCCATCAGGAAAGGTCAACCAGGCGCTAATACCACGTGTAGAATAAAAAGAACACAAATTGCTTACTTCTAACCTAAACAAGCAATGAAACAGTAAAAGAAATGCACAAAAAAGAAATCTTCTGACAAAGGTATGAGTTTTGATCCTACAAATCTCATTTGCATTTCATCTCAAAGTCCTTTTCATCAACATTACGCCAAACGAAAAACATAACAAGCATTTTTATATGATGAACATAAAATCCTAGACAGATTCACTAGGAAAACAACAAATTGGTAAACACAACACAAAAGTTGTAACAAGTACAACAGTCGCTTTCTTTGTATCCTAACAACTTCAAATCTTCAACAGGGGCATTGGCGCAATACCCTCAGCCATGGTCCTAACTCCTAAAAGAAATGTCTTGGACTTAATCCAGCTCTAGGTCATAAATTCTTCACTTCTCCTATTACAGGTCTTCACTCCCAAGATGTTCTGCACTTCACTTCCCCTACATTGATCATTTATTCATCAGCGTGATTCATTTCTTCAACAGGAAGACACATGTAGCTTGATTTGAATCCAGCTGAGTCTGAACTGCAATGCATACCATGTTTGCTTAACTTGGTTTATTTTTTTTTCCTCTGCTTTTTTCTCTTCTGGGCTTTTGTATCGAGTCCTCTGTGAACTCCTGTGGCATTTTGATGGTGGCTAAATGATATATGAATATATCATTCTTTTAATAAAAGGAAAAAATACCACACCTTTTTCCAAACACATCAGTAGAAAACCTCTGGTGATATGCTAGTAAATAATATAATATATAAAAGCCTAGGTTATCAGTTACTATTCATTAGTGGTTCTCACACTCCTCCAAATGCAAGTTGGGAAGTTCCAAGTTTCTTCTTTTACCATGCTCTCCATTTTATAACCTTTGTGTTTAGCTATTGTTCGCTAGGTTTACATCTATTGAACTCAAACACAAGGGTATCCTAACTTGAACCCAAGGCCGCTACCACGAGTTTTGTATCGGGATCGAGTTTCATCATCTTTAGTGTTTTTTCTTTTTCCTTTTTGTTGACCATCATCACAATTGAACCCAAACATTAATTAATATATAAAGGCCATTCGATTCGGTCCAAGCGACTTGAAACTGACTTTAGTATTTATGAATTTCTCTCTTTTTCTTTTGGTTGCGAAGACAATTGAACCCGAATCTAAGCTATTAACGAGTGTTGTATTGTGAGAGAGTTTTATCCGCTTTTGTAGCTGACAGGTAGAACCAAGTGTTAATTTGTTAGAAAAATGGTCAAAGCGAGTTGAACATGTTGTTGACCAGTTTTAGATCGAAAGCGAGTTTTGTATGCTTTAATGTTTTTATAATTCTCATTTTCAGTTTCGTTGAGAATGACTATTGAACTATGACCCATTGTTGACGGTCGTATCGAGAGCGCGTTTTATCCACTTTTGTAATTGACATGTTGGGTAAACTGTGAATTTGTTAAAACTGGGTCGACCTGGTCAAAGCGAGTTGAACGTAGTGTTGAGAGTATAGGGCCGTGAGTGAGTTTTATCCACTTTAGTATTTTTTTTTATCTTTTTCCTTTTGGTTGAGAATCACAATTGAGTCAAAATGCATGAGTATCCAACCAAATTCGACCCGACCAAAGCGACTTGAACCCGGTGTTTACAAGTTTTCGGTGGGAGCGAGTTTTATCTGTTTTTGTAATTGGCGGGTTATGTTAGGCGTGAATTTGCTCAAAACTCGATTCAACTAGGTCAAAGCGAGTTGAACCTGGTGCTGACGAATTTTGAGTCGGTAGCGAGTTTTACCTATAGTGTTTTTCATTTCACCTTTTCCTTTTGTTTGAGAAAGATAATTGACCTAAAATCCATGGGCATCCAACCTAAATTGACCTGACCAATGCGAGTTGAATCTCCTCAAATTGCAAACAATCCCAAAATTTCATAAAGGAGAACCACGATTACCTTAAACCAAAAAAAAAAAAGCCAAAAGAGTACGACTATGTTTGGCCCGAATAAGTTTTATGTTTCAAAAGGTGAAGCCAAGCCAAACACCTCTAAAATTTTGCTTTTTGAAAAGCTGAAGTTTTGCATAACTTCAAAGCAGATTTTACGATTTGAAAATATAAAATTTTTCTTACCATATATTATTATTTTTGTAGAAGATATAATTTTTTTTTCATTTATATAATTATAAAACATAAATTGAAAATATTATTATATAATATAAAATAAATCTAACGTGATCTATTTTAAATAATTTTTTATTTTTATAATTTATATTCATATTTTATGTTAGAATTTTTTTTAATCATTTTACACGACCTCTTATATTAGAAAGTAATTCTGATAATTTTTAAGCTAAACACTCAATTATTTTTTTTAATACTTCTTGAAAAGATCTAGAGAATTTGCTTCATTCTACAAAAATTACAGCAGGATCAACCACTAGTCATACAAATTGAAATAATAGCGTCATGAGAGAAGGTTAAACATAAATAATCTATTCGACGACCTTGAAGAATTGATGAGAAAGAATTTTAGAAAGGAAAGAAAAATACATAAACAATATGAATGTTATTAAAATATTAATAGATTGTTAAATAATTATAATTATTAAAAACTTCATTTGATGGGACACTAACAAATAGTGTTTTGAAATCCTTCTTTTTAATATATTATTATTCTTAAAAAAAAGATACCAATCCTTATTCCAAACACATCAGTAGAGAACCTCAGGAAATTCTTCTATATATAAAAACTGGGTACACTTTTTGCATGTTACTGTATCATTTTCTGTCTTTTAGCGCCTATCAAACTCTTCGCGCGAAACCTTCCCCATCCAACTGCTTTCTCTCCCCAGTTCTTCCCTAAATCCCGCAGGCGACCATGCCGCTCCCTACAACCTGTACTCCACTGCTGTGCTTGGTCCTTATTACAGTAGTCGACCAACCTTTCATCAAATGCTGCAACACGCCATCGCTGAACAAGGGCTCTGCACGCAACCGGTACAAATCTTGCAAAATTGATTGCTACCTGCTCACACACGCCACCACCCATGTTTCTTACCATCATCGCCTTGCTTCCCTCGCATAGTGGAAGAGTGAGCTTCTCTCTTCCCCGCTTTGACGCCAGGCTATCTGACTCAAAACTCTCTTGCTCACTGATCTTTGCGGTCGGCGGCGGGTACTGCTACCACCAACCAATGGCGGTGGGTAGTTCATCTTTCTTCTTCCCCTATATTTGATGGAAAAATTGATGCTCTTGCCAATCGCTTTTGTTGGAATGGAGTTTAGTTATAGGTTCTGCCGACGCCTTATGTGGTGTGTGGCGTTCCATTCCCCCCCGGTTCTTCTGCTGAGGTTTTGTTCATTTCTCTTTCCCTTCTCCAGCGATTTCCTTCAAGGTGGATAGGTATCAGCTCTACTCGGTTTCCTTCGCCACCCGCCTCTACCTTCCGCCGCTGCTTTGTGCTGCAGAAGACGAACCTCTTCGATGGCGTTCGCCAAAGCCCAAGGTACTCGGTGTGCTCAGTCACGGAGAAGGAAAAGATGGGAAAAACAAGGTACCTGGCGGTAAAATGCAAGCGCCGATCTTCCGGGCAACGCGAATCCAATTGTGGCGGCACTGATCTTCTCTTTCTATATTTCTCTCTTCTTGCTTTAAAATTGTGATCTCGACTCATTCCCCTAGAAGTCCATTTTCCATTCATGTTCTTGCAGGGTGCGGATTGAAGAAGGGTCTCATTGTCTCTGTCTATCTACAAGTAAGATTAAGTCATTGGGTATTTTTGTTTATTTGTTCTATTTGATTGAAAATGAGAATAACCTTTTCTTCTTGGTGGTTGTGCCATTCTGTGCGAGGCTGAGAAAGAACGTACCAGGTTTGTTTCAAAATCAATTTCCTTCTCCATTTTCGCTGCTTTCATTTGCGGTTGGTTTAATGCTTTAAATGGGAAAAGAAGCCTTACAAACTAATGGAATGCATATAATTGGGTTATCTGTGGGTTTGTTGCGTTTAATTAGCATTGGACTCATTAGGTTCAATTAGTTAGTACACAGAGATCTGTTGGTTATAGTAGTGCAAGGAATGCAAAGGTTTATATAGCATAAAAGGAGATTGGCTTATGTAATCTGCTCTGTTTTTTTTTTCTCTTGCAGAGGTTTGTGGATTGTGAAGCCTGCCAACCATTTGGAAGAGGTTTATTGAGATGCCAAGTACCTCATACTCTCTGTTTCCATATTGGAGAATCGTTGCCACCCTAGGGAGAGGGCTGAGAAGGCTGCTGCAGTGCCGAATGATGTCGTTGGCATCGGCTGAAGGGGGAGGGGAAGCAAATTCAATGCAAGGTGGAGAAGGCAATATACGGACTGGAAGCCGGCAGAGAAGATGGAGTTCAACACTAGAAGTGGAGGTCTTTTGGAATGATGCCAATCACTTGAAACAAACCATGTATACAATTAGAAGGCGAGTCCTCAGATGTTTTTGATCGTCTCCCATACTTTCGAAAAGAGGAAGGAAGTGAGGAAGAAATTCAGTTAGGAAAAGATCTGGCTCACCAATGAGATAATTCACTACCCAACTGTTGATAAGGTTTGAATACCTGAGTTTGAAATTATTGATTTTTTGTTATGGAGTTTGTTTAGTTTACTGAACCTAGCTTTGTGTGCTTTGGTTCTGGTATCTACGGCTGAGTTATAATCAGCTCGCCTAAGCAAGCCAGTACTGCTCATCCTTCCTTTGTCGCTCTGGCTTATAAATGTGGGTGTTTATACAAAGATGTTATATTTATACTTAAACTGCTTCTCTTAGATTATTTTGTATAGGTTTGCTATTGACTGTTTTGTATTGCATTGGATGTACAACATAAAGTGAAGCTCAAACCCCATGTATAGTTGTTCTATCTTTTGTTAGCTGATTTAGAAAATTCACTTGCTCACTTATCTTAGTCAGCTTTGGTGATGTTGTTCGGACTATTGGGGTCGTGCCAGCTGAATATGACAGTCCTGAGAAGGCCGTGACAATATACTCTGAATCCTTCAAGACGATTCCCGAGCTTCAGATTGTTCAATTCACTGCTGTCATGGTAAGTTCTTTCTCCTTTCTGGATTTCTCTACCAATACATTATTCTTGCTTGCTTTCAACTTACTGAACTGTTGGTTGGGACCAATTTAAGATGGAGCATGTTTCGTTAATGAGTTGACTGTTTAGTTGTTGAGATAACCACCAATTTCTCACTCTCTCACTCTCTCATGAATGGATGGTCACTAAATGTTCTGTGCTTCTGGTTGACAGCCTAACTTTAATAATTTCTGATCCTTCTGAAGGCATGTGTGGAAGGAAGCTCGATCTATGCTTCAGAAGATATTATCATGTACCATGAGCAAATCAACTGAAGTTCGATACCCAAAAATTTAACTGACCATGTTTCTCTAACCTATCCTCATAAAGAATTTCGATTGACTTCTTTCATTGCAGCTACTGAACTGAAGTTCAGATAATAGCAGTTTGAGGGACAGATCACTTATGCAATTGTGAGATAACTAGAGCTTTGTACAGGTTGAAAATGTTTCTTTTTTTTGTCAAGCGTATGATGTCCCCCACCGAAAATTGCCAGAACTTTCTTTGGCTGTATACCGGGAAGGAAGATATGAGCATACCTGTGTTTTGTCTCTTCAAGCGTTCAAGATTTTGTCAATGAGGTGCTAAGACTAAACTTTATCCATATTGGATTCTACTATTGTGATTCAGCTTTGCCTGCAAGAGTTTATTTCCTTAGTAAAATCCGAGTCTTTCTCGAGTTCTTCTCTTTCATCGTCTGATTTTTGGTTTCTACAAGGAATAACAGCAGGCAGGGAATGGATTCATTTCGATATATGGGCGATAGACCACAAAGGAAAAGAAAAACCGATAGATGGATTTATGTGGATGTTATTGGTTAGAGAATTTATGTGGATGGTAATGGTATTGGGTTGTGGGGCTATTTATTGGAGGAAAGGATTTCATGTGTAGTTTTGTGGCAGTTTAAGTTGATATGTTCCTGTTTAAGAAGCACGAGGAGACTGAGGTCCCAGGTCCTTACAACGGGCACAAGGTTTTGAGCAGCTAGGGATGGCAACAAAACCCGAACCCACGGGTACCCACCCGACCCAACCCGGTCAACGCGGGTAAAATCCGTGTTGACGGGTTTTGGGTCGGGTTTGGGTTTAAACCCGTTCACTATTCATCGGGTTGGGTTGGGTTTGGGTTTAGGTAAACCCGGCCCGTGGGTACCCGCCCACTCATATAATTAATTTTTTCGGTATATTTAATATTCTAAACAACTAATCTTATTTATGTTTGTGGAGACATGTCTAATTTTTTCTTTTTAATTGTGTAGAATGAAGTTGATGTTATGGAGTGGAGAGTAAAGAAACTTAATTGAAAGGAAGAAGCTTTCAATTAAACATGTTATTTATGAATAATTTGTGATTTGCTTCAATTTTCTTGAGTTTTCTAGATTGGTGTTGAACAATTTGTATAGTTTATTTGTGATTTGCTTGAATTTTCTAGAATGGTGTTTTATATGTGGATAATTTGTATTGAGAGATTGATATTTGACTTTAATTTTGATAAGAACTTGTAATTGTAAATTTTTTACGACAAAACCCGTGGGTACCCATGAACCCGCGGATACCCAACGGGTTGGGTTGGGTTTGAGTTTTTCAAACCCAGTGGGTTTTACCCCGGATTTTTTTTCAAAAATAAACCCATGGGTTTGGGTTTGGGTTTGGCAAAACCCGACCCAACCCGACCCATTGCCATCCCTATGAGCAGCTAGGGTACGAGGGAACTGAAGCCAGCAAGTAGATTTTTCTGCTGTTGCTACCCTAGATAAAAAAACAAAAATCCATTTCTTGCTTATGAAATGCTTGAGATGTGTTATGAGCATTTGAAACTACATGAGAATCTATCTTGAATAAAACTAATTTATTGAAATGCAGGAAATTGAGTTTACGGCAATGCTTCTTGCTTTGTTCTAAACTCAGACAATTACTCCCGTCTCCTGTTTGGTGATTGGGACATCTAAATTTCAATGTTTGTGGTCTATAATCATTAGAAACCGGAGACAGGATTGACTGGACATAAATGTATTATTATTTGTAATCGTAATGATGATGTATTTTTCCCTTAAACGTGCTCAACTTTTAATATCATTATAGTTATATTAACATAAGCCTCATACTAATTAACTATGAAACTCAATATGATCATGCTATTGTGACTTTAGTTCACGCGGTGTAGCCGCGGGTATTGATTCTAGTATGCTAGTAATAATTAGATAATAATGGCATTCCGTATGCTAGCTTGGATGTTTCCTCACCCAACCCATTTAATAGTTGAGAGAGCAGAATGTTCGAAACGCAAAAAAAGATATATAATATGCTCTGATACTGACGGTGCGTCGAATGGTAATCCGGGTCCAGTCGGAGCCGGAGGGCTTGTGCGTGACTCGACGGGTAAATGGCTGGGAGGTGTGGTTGCTAACCTCGGATCTGCGACGGCGGTGTTAGCGGAGTTATGGGCCATTTGCTATGGTCTGGATTTGGTTTGGAACCTCGGGTTCCGAGTAGTAAAGATTGCCACTGATTCCCAGCTGGCGCTTCAGCTGATTCAGGAGAGACACGATCCCATTCACCCTTATGCCACACTTCTGAGCCTCATTCGAAGAAAGATTGGTCAAGACTGGTTGGTTAGCCTGTCTCATACGTATCGGGAAGGGAATAGAGCCGCGGACTGGCTCTCGAAGCACAGTCTCGTCTACCCTTACGGTAAGTATGAGTTGGCTGACCCTCCTACGGGTATAATCCACTTGCTGCAAGATGATGCTAGAGGTGTCTCCTTTGAGCGCCAAATTGTGGCAAACTCTTCTTCCCTCATCTAGTCTCCCCCTGTAACCGTCTCTTTCTTGGCGCTAGCCTCCTTTTTATGAAAAAAAAAAAAAAAAAGCTCTGATAGATAATTAAAATATGCCATTAAACCATAACGATTACAACGCCATAACTACAACGCTGATACCAAGAGGCTTGCACAACATGATCTGGACCGCAAAAACTTATTTATTTCTATAGCAAACTAACTGCGGTTGTCATCAGCACTTGACTCCTTCATTGTCACGGACGATGGTGGCATTCGCGCTACCAATCTTCCTAAAATAACACACCTTGCTATTGCCATCCACGCTCCGGTACTTGTATGACTGCTTCAACCATTGTGATGCAGCATTCCAAGTGTAGTTGTCGATCGCCCAAACGCTGCTGCCACGCTGCAGATCTTCCAATGTGCTAGTCCTGAAATCGAAACGCGATTTCTATTTCTTGTATGTTTTCTTATCGACGTACCCCGTGGTCAGGTCGAGCGTGTCGATGGCATTTCCTTTTCCTTCCAGAATCAGTATTTGTTGCTTCATCGCCAGGCTGAAGTTCTTCGTGGACTCGAACGAGTATCGATTGTCATCATCACTTGTCGCGAACGAGACGCTGTCGTTCGACAGAATCAGTTGCTGCACAGTGGCAGCGCCGAGCCTCTGGTCCACGTAATTGGTGTAGGACAGGTTCTGGTTGACACGAGTAGTGATGTTTCCGTATGAGGATTGGACCCAACCTTGTGAAGACGTCATCCTATGCGCTTCGATCCATGATTCCCCAAGCGGCACCTGCATCCTCAACATTGATGTGAAATTGAGTCGTTGGTCGAAGCTCGAAACGAGCTTCCCCTTCGTCCTCTGGCTTTTCCGGTCCAGCCAGAGGTGCAAGTTTGCACCGACGTACCATACATTGATCGCGTTCCCGATGCTGAAACTGAAATTGTGCAACCCTCCGTCTAGGAGATTGCCTAGAAACGGCGTCAATTCGAAGTCATAGGAAGGGAGATCGAAGGAGCGAGTGCTTGCGACAGGGTTGAATATGTTGTCCAATGCATCGTAGATCACTGGATACGGCCAGATTGCACCTACTCTGTCATCGTCGAGGTTGATGACCACATCTCTGAAAGGACCATCCCCTGGCTCGTCGTCAAGATGGTCAATGTTGTAATATTCCGTCGGATAGTTCCAGTACCAGGCCTCGTCGACATTGTGAGCCGACACATAAACCTCTAGCACTGCCCTGTAAGCATTCCGAGGAATCTCGAAGCTCGCCAGCTTCACGTTCGTCGAGTTTTCAATTTGAAACCAAAACCCATCTTTCGATTTGAGATCCCCTGAAATGGGTAGTATGAGATCGGCCTTGGACTCACTTCCGAATCCCAAATCGATCATGTTGTTGGGTGGATTGTTATGTGCAGCAGCAATTCTGCTCGTCTTGCGATTATCCGTA